TCTTTCTACACAGTTTCACCATATGTGCACACACTGAGGTCAGGGGAGATGGAAAGATGCCTGCTGACTGATGAAAAGAGAGTAACTACTTTCAGAAGGACCGCGCCCCGCTTACGAATCACGGATCGGCATGTGACTAATCAGCTCACGCCCTGGATTCCGTTCCGGTTTTTTGCTTCGCTCCCTTCAGCCACATTGCTTTTGCGGGAAGAGCGATCATCGTGATGGAGTCCTCCACATGGAGTAAGTAATACCAAATGCCGATATTAAGGATAGTGCGATGGGCACTGGGCTGGTTACGGCCCGGCAAATTCTGTTTGTGTGTGATTTGGTAACCTTGCTGACATTGCGATAGTCTGATCGTGTCCCGGGTTGTTTCTGATGGCTGCACCAGCCACACTCGGGTTCCATGGTTCACTGGCACACTATATTCCCTTGGTACCGCGATATCAATGCTATCACCCCCTTGCGGATGGCTTCACAGATAAGGCTAGCGATCTGGCTGTCGCCCGGTCGGCATTGCCGTAGTTCCCGTGAGGGTACCCCTTCATATCTGTTTGAAAGGCTAAGAACGAAGGGCATTCCGCTGCGAGTCAATTCTAGGCCAAACTGTTCAGCTGCTCATGCCATCATCATGCGGCTCCAGCAAAAAAAGGAATAGTCTGTTTTCCGATCGACCGTATAGTGGAAGTACTGGGTACAGATAGACGGCCCCAATCAATATCATAGGGTGACCTAGACGAGTGCTGAACATGCCCCGCCAGGTAGACAGACAGTAGTCCAACTGCAAACCATATGACCGGGAGTTTTGACTCGATCGAAGGCACCACAAAATAGTAGTGTGATAGGAAGGTAGAACCTGAAAGGCGGGGTTTCAGAAATTTAAGTTACTGGCGTCATCCTCGCATCGCCTGTCTGAGTAGATGGGCTTTGCACAGCTCATTGGCCAGATGACAAAAATGCCAATAGCTTAGCACTATCGACGGTGCAGTAGTTTAGTGCAACTCCAGGGATATGGATGCATGTCCGGAGCACCAGGCAAGAATGTGTCTAGCGCGTTATCATATGCTGTTCCGTACCGTTAGCAGAGTCGGAAACAATGTTATCGAAGGACGGGTTTCTAATCACTCTGAATAGAGAGCACAGCCAGACTACTCGTTGTCCCAAGCATATTTTTCTGATCTGGCTCAAAAAAAAGGCGATCTCATGTCCGCTTGGGCGATAATGAGGCTTGCTGACAGGGGCAAAGAATTACGGGAGGGCCGCGGGCACCATGTTATGTATATATCGCCATAAGACCCGACGATGATCGATCGCAAAGCTTGGAATGCCTTCGATACCAAGCCGAATATTGTCGATCTTCTCTCATCGTCCCTGTAGATGAAGGAAGACACGACTAAATAAATATGAGTAGTGTATACCTAGCCTTCCCAGCAATGCGATCGTTTCATTGTCCTAGCGATGAAGTCGCAGGGTGCAATGCAACAAATTTTCCGTGCTACCTCGCAGGAAGTGAGTGCAGTGATGCCGATGCCTTGCTGCAAGCAACAGAAGTACGGAGCAAGTGAGCAACACCTTGCTGCCTAGTGACTCCGGAGGGAGCCCGTTGGCCCCATGCCACCTGTTTACAGGACTGAATCATCCCCGAAGCTCTTCACCGGAAGTATACTTTAGCTCCCACGATGATGGACCGAGTCAAGCCTAAGATGTATGTAATCATGATGTCGGATGGCAGCATCTGAGCGACATGGTTTGTTTATGATAGTGCAAAGCTTGTATGGCAGCGGCCCAGACGAGCATCCAATTGCAGGGCGTGCCTGTGCCATGACACGAGGTTGTTTCTTAACCTTGGAAGGAGCTGGAGATGCGACCGCATGATTTGTCACTGCCTAAGCAAGTTGGTTTCGATTAACTTACTAGTTAGCTTGTTAAGTTAACACCTGGATCTGACCAACTTTCGGACATCCGTGGATCCTATGGTGGACATCCTTGGGAAAGTAGACGGGATAGGCCGGCTGAAACCGTCGGTCCACCACTTGTTATCTCCTTTCTCTTCCCAGGGACGTATTCAACCAAGTTTACTATTGTGGTACTTCACCTTTGACCCTTTCCCTTACCTTTGAGATTCGACTTCGTTCCAGCCACGGCCAGACCAACAGAGACGCGACAGGGCCAAGCCCAGAGGCAGCGGGAATAATTTACATCATACGCGGGAATCGGGTCAGCGCACCACCGATCCTGCCTTCTAGACCTCTCCTTCCTGCCGGGTTGCAACTCCACTTGCTGCGGATTCTAAGACCAGGAGTTGTCCTGTGCGGTGGCGAGTGCCGTATGATTTGTTTGTTACGTATCTTACCTTGCATATCGGGTTTGTTACTGTACCCTGTACAGTCAGTGTGTATCTTGTGTATTATCTTGCTTACACTAGCCCAGAATAGTCCTAGTTACTATCGCAAGCTAGACACTAAAATAGTCATCATCTCCTGGGAATTGTTTACCCCCACCATTAGTCTGCTAGCTAAGTAGTAGTGATTTCTTCTTCCTCCTCCTTCTCCTCCTCAATAGGCAGCGACCGTTTGTCACTTGACTACAAAGTAATTCCTTTCCACCATCCACATACATGAATCATAACACAAGAAATATTAAAGATTCTCCAAAAAAAATAAATAATAAATATTCAGCAATTAGTCGCACGTCTACTACTTATTCTACAAAATCAATGGTGACTGCCTACGTATCAGGTACGACGACAGCTACACTGGGCCACGCAGTGCTGGCCCAGCCACAACCAATCAACGGTTCAGGATCTGCGGCCGTGGCCCTGTCTCAAACGCTGAATACCTGGCTCGGTTACAAAGTGGCTGAACCGGTAGATCCATTTTCCTTGGGTACGCTGTAATATCCAACATCGATGCCCACTTGGTTGCTCCATATCTACGGTCGGGGCGTCCTCTTACAGCCAGTAACACTTCACACAGGAGCTTTTCCAAGTGCCCGTCCGCTGTGTCAGACAAAGTGACGCAGGCAAGAAAATAGGCAGCTAAACCCCTCCTGGTTGGCTTCGCACCGGAATCCGATCCAAGTAAGCTACAGTAGGCAAGGAAGGAGAATAAGCAACTAAGCCAGAATGTGTATCTCTCTCTCTGGGATGGGAGGATCGCGGCCCCATGCAAAGGATAGATAGTGGTTTCAGACTAGGATTGCGTTGGTCCTGAGCTTAGAATTTACAGAGAAACAGATACATACATACATACACACACTCACAGTAGGCAGACTACATGCCACTGATCACAAAGATAGAGTTTGCCTCTTTTAATGAAATTGTTTCGTTTCCTTTGATCAAGTCACTTTAAAGGGCGCTCAGCACCTCTTAGATTCTAAAGTTTTGTTTGCATGACTGACCGACCGTACTGTCCATTCTTTATGTGTTTATGTTTTCAATTTAATCACTCTCGCTATCTTCCACTCTTTCTGCCCTTTTCTCCCTCCCCCCTTAAGAGCCATTTTACAGTGGGCTTCGTTGACCTTTGCAAATATTTTCTCTTCTCTTAACGTGGTGGCGCCATACCGTAAGCATACTGTAGGAGACTCCTAGCAGATCGGAATTTGTATTTTGTCCAGGTACGAGTGTAGACCGATTCTTACCAAATACGTGATTCGGGACAGGAGTGTCAGCTTTCCCACTTGGGGAAAATACCACTGACTGGGGGCGAGAGTGAACTAAAGATACTGCGACCAAACTCCTCCTGGTGAAAAGTAAACACAGGGTCAGTATTCCCCGTGAACGTTGTCATACACGTTGGCGGAAGACTTTTTTAGAGTGCTTGGTGGCATTTGGCAGATCCCATCATCGAGATAGAGAAAGAAATGCTTGACTCCAGCCCCTCCAAAAAAAAAAAAAAAAAAGAAGAGTGTATCCGGGTGTACCAAGCACAAAATCGGCTGGTAACAGGTAAAAGCGACGGGAGGAATACTCCGTACAGCGACGCGTATGGACCCGACGGTTGGTTAGCCCGCTAGACCCGATGCGGCCAGCGGCCCACTGCAAAGCGGGTAAGCCGGATTTTTATTTTTATTCTTTTTTCCTCTTGTTTTCTTTTTCCCCATACTTCATACATAATTAGTACCGTTACCTTCCTTTCCATTTCACCATGATATACCTCCTCTTTCTCTCGCTCTGCTGCTGCTCGCACCCACGGAGAACGTACTCCGAGTGATATTTTACTTACTGACCTGGCCCCAATAATTTAAAATTTCCAGGTGCAGGTTTCTAGAACGGTTACTGGCAGTGGCCACGCTGGTGTGGAACATCGGGACTAGGCCAGCCTGATTCCGTTTCGGTATTCGCATTTTACTCACTCACTCTTCCTTACCACTACGGCCTCTCCCACTTGCAGGCTTCCCGCTGGCGTCGCCGTAGTCTAGTCCACCTCTCCTCCTCATCCATTCCCATCCTCTCGGGCCTGCTCGACTCACCCCGAGAAGATTTGTCTTTCTCCAACCTCAATTGTGTCTCTCTCTATTACCTCTCCTCTACCATACCTACCCCTTTCCACTTTCTTCACCTGCGCCCCGAACGCAGCACCACCCCTCGTTCTCGCCATTCACACTCCTCCCCTGGTCTTGGTTGGAGGGGATGATGCCGATTACCTTCTAATCCTATCGGCGCTGTGTTGATCCCGTATTCCCTCCAATGTCTGGTTCGGCGTTCCCTCGCAGTTGAAATCGCCCCTTTATTGAACCGAGTCATTTTCCATCGTTCCTAATACGACACTAATTTCGTCCATCTGATATCTGGTACGTACTGATTCGGAGTCGAGCTTGCGAAGAGTTATCTGGGAGGTCCGTGGCTGATCGGCATCAGCTATCTTCGGTCTACCTTCACCTGCGGGACGTCTACCCGAATCTCCTGTCGTTATAGTACTCGCTTCGGGCACGGGCCTGACGGATCAATTGTTCGACTGGCGGTCCATAGCAGCGTTCTGGATATTCGCCATTCTGATACACTCGAAAAGTTTTCAAACCGTCGGTGGGGAGCTCGGCCATCTATCAAGACACCTCCATAAGTGGAAGCGTGGACCAATTGAATTCGGCATCAGAGCCACCTTATAATCACCGTTCGCTCGCACACAATCGTTGAAACGCCAGGAGCTCGTCAACGGATACGGTCGGAATTTTCGCCATGCGGGCCGACTTCCTTCTTCCACCATTGCTTGGTGTGATTGCCTTGCTTGCTTGGCCTGTGTCGGTCGCATCCTCTCTCACCTACTGTTCTTCGGTAAATACAGGCTCCTCGCAAGCAGCAAGTATGTGATATTCGTGGCGTTGTCATGATCCGGTCACTAACCTCATGCAGACGAAAGTACCTACCAGTCCAATGGTCTTTGCGAGGACCACTGCAGCAACTATGCGTTTGGTATTCTTCAGGGATACGACTGCTGGTGCTCGAACATTGTTCCCAATGAAGCGACCAACGTGAACACTTCGCAGTGTAGCCAGGATTGTCCCGGTTACCCCGATGATAGCTGTGGTAGTACTTCAAAGGGCCTTTACGGTTACGTTGAGATCGTTGGACATCAGCCGTCCGGAACAGCAACCGTCTCTACGACATCGACATCGTCAACCTCGGTCAGTAGAGCCCTTTCCTACTCGTTCGGAGTCTTCGGGTCGTGATTTGCGCACTGCCGATGTCTCGACTCGCCAGGCATGCTAGCCTTCCATGGCTGAACGTTTCCCATATGGTCCGTTGCCTTGCACAGCGAACGAGTTTGTTGACAGTGTTGCTATCAACTGTGCCATGGCTGCTTCGGTCGCTGAAGTGCGCAATGACCTGCCAGGTCTCAATGCTTATGATATTGAACAGGACTGACCTTTTCCAGACTTCTTCATCATCTGAAACTACTGCTGCTACGACGACGGGAGAATCTGTTGCAGTCACAACCGACTCTGGGGTAGTCAAAACGGTCACAATTCCCGCTGCCACAAAAGCAACCTCAACGTCTGCAGCGGACAACCTCTCATCCGCAAAGAGTAGCGACAACTCTGGTATGAGCTCAGGAACCATCGCTGGTGTTGTGGTAGGCTCTGTCGGTGGTGCCCTCGCCATCCTAGCCTTGATATTCGTGTTGTTCTTCGCGAAACGCAAATCGCGGTCGAACAGCCCAGATCCAAGTGTACAGTCCATCCTGCTGGATGGAAGACAAAGCAAAGGCTCACAGATGAGTTTTATGAAGGGCATGTTTTCCGACAATCATAGTCATACCTTGTCTGCCGGGTCCGCTGCCAGCCGCTTGCCGACGTTTACGGACAACCGCATGAAAACCGATACCGTTCTCTACGCGAATGGCCGCCGAGATAGCGATGTCTCACTCCAGGATAATGAAGATTATTCTCGGCCTGTGTTGCGGGTCAGTCCCCATGTTTTCCCTATCGTGATGTCTGATATTGGAACGCTAACACGTGACGCAGCTCACGAACCCCGACTAACGGTTGGGTGTCGCATAACCCTATCTCTTCGTGTTTTGCATTTACATCTCCTATGTATTTCGATTTGCGTGTTTCGGCGAAAACAGCGGTGTTATGATACCCATTTGTCACATAATCCTTGACTTCCTTTTCATTCGACTACAGGAGAGACGATGGACTCGACAGCCCCACCCCTCCGACCAAAACCCCCACCTCCGGTGTTTCGATCATCACGATGTCTACGCGTCATGCATCCTCACGGTGGTGCGTTGGGTAGAGGGGCGGGGAAGCTAAAAAGCATTTAAAACGGACCCTCATTCGCCTTTCGGAGGTGGAAAAACATAGCCGCCTGGCGGCTACAACAAAACTTACTACGCAAAACCACGTCATCAGGCGCGGCTCTTCTGAGATTCCATCGATTCTTGCCCCTGATATTGTCGACCTCCGTGTATATCGAAGCACAGGGACCTGTGCTACAAGCTGAAGTACATACTCTAATGGATTAACCAGAATCCTTCCCCTCGCTCTTGTTTTCCTACTTCGAACCTCTTTGTCATCTAGCCCCTGTTTTTCTGTTTCATTTCCATTTCCATTTCCATTGTCTGTGTTTCTATTATTACAAGTGTCAGGGTTACATGGAGCGTCATTTGAAATTCGCATGAATGCATTGAAAGATTGGTCGGTGTGAGATATGTCGCTATCACTGGGTTCAACCTGTAATCTTACCACGATGGAGCGAAGTTGTTCTGATAGCGAAAGATGCCGTGCATCTATACTACTGATGTATTGCAATGGGCTTAATACCGGACCGAATACCAAAGGCATCGATCTGTTTCCATACATACTATTCCCTCCACCTGTCCCATACCACTTCCACAAGGTTCTATGATCTATCTATCCATGGTCCCTCAACCCCATCGTAGCGGGCCCCAGACCCAAACCCCAGCCCAGCCCAGCCCGATAATCGAATCTCTAACAAACCGGTTTCTCACCGGTTCTTTCCAAGTCGCGCCGGGGCCCAGAACATAAAGTGACAGCTAAACCTTACGACGCACGGATTACCCGCTCCCGCGCCCAGTTCGAGATCTATTCCAGTGCCAATCAAGTCTGCCTAAGCCACACGTCGTTTTTGCCACTTTCCACGATCACCTACCTATCTAACCTTAGGCTATCTGTATGTATGGACCCACGGCCTGGAACTATCTACTTATGCTGTCCGGGTACCTGCATTGCCAATGAGGTTTTGCCACCTAGTAGTTAGTTTCGGGTTTATGGGGTTTGCGTGGAGATAGCTAGTTTCTGGTTCTTGAATACGTAGACAGGGATGGGGCATGCTTCGTGTGCTGTTTTTTACCAGTGAGTCGTGCGTGTGTAAATGAATCTGTGAAATGAATCTGTGGTCATGGAGGTCTGGATGTGAGTTTTGTCGGTGGTTCTTGTAATATTGGTTTTGTATGAGGAGGGACTGTGATTAACTTTGCCTGGTTTCACAACAGGTCTGATAGATCTAGGGCGTGCTCTTCTGATAATACTTTCCCTTCCCGGCATGTAGTTATCTGCAGACAATGACCTAGCCAGAAAAACTGCCACGGACAATCATTCTTGGATCTCAGCTGCTGAAAATTGATAGATCTTTGCCGACTGTGTGAGAGGGTCGGACAAGTATGGGTCAATATCTGCACAACACTGCCAGACTATGTCCTTTTCTCGGGAATATAACCGCCAAGCTTCCCAAAGAGGCTTGATCAGAGGCATCTTATGTTGAGCAACGTCTTTGGGGATCTCTTGTGGCAGTCTGGGCAAGATTATCGACATACTAGCCCGAGATATCAACTCCGGGGAAGAGCCCCAATAACGGTCGAGTCACTTGCCAGGATCCCGGCATGGCTGATCCGTTTCGGATTTGTGCAGAGACAGGTCAAGCCCGGTGCGTTGCCGCGACGAATCCCATGCATTGCACGGTGGTGAAGTGATGCAAGAGGCAAGCAGGAAGTATGGGAATCAACCTGGCGGCACATGACTAACCCCGCTGCGGGATAGTTTTGCCATTCCAGGCAATCCAACTTCTCGCCTCTCAACGCTGCCTCTTTCCCTCTTCCGTCAGCTGGATCCAGCATCCTGCTATTCCTCGGTTTGTTGCGTCTCTTGCCTGCTTAGGCCGATCATGATGATGTCGTGGGCCTATTTCTATCCTGTCGCAAGCCACAGACCCCCTCAACCCCCCTAACCCCCTCACCTGGGTGCAAGGAACTCGCTTCCGGCGGTTATCTGTATACCTAATGATTACCACAGGGCGGAGAGATATATGTGGCACATATAATTGAAGCTGACGAACCAAACGTTGTTGGTTACATTGCAGCGGATGTACTCATCCCTTGTAGTGTTCTGGGTCGGTCTCGTTGTGTCCCCAACGTTATCTCGAGTACGCACCAGATGGACGATGGTGGGACATGACATTGCTATAGGCGCGTCTTAAAAGCCCTCGGCGCATCGTCCCAATGGAAGAGCAGTGGGAGCTGGCGAATCAGCCGCGTCTCTCAGCTAAAAAGGTTGCGCCGATCCGTCATGAGTCTGCGCCTGAGCCTGTTATCGTGTCGTGTTGACCGCTGGCCATGGAGAAGAAGCATGTCGGTTATCAAAGCTTCTGCGTCGTATCTGACTGATACTGTCCTTATCTTTGTTTTATCTGCATTGCCGCACCAAACAGAGTAAATCTTGTCGAGGGATGCCACCTTTATGCAGCAGGATATCCGATTTATCAGCTGGGATTTCCCCAGAATTCTGGGGCAGGCTGAGCTTTCCTAGTATGGCTGCCTGTCAGTGCTATGGGAACCGCATCCGACTTCCATTCACGTAACGCCTCCACTTTGTCAGGTGCGGTATATTTGCTCTTGTTTCCCTCTGGCGTTTCTCTCGGCGTCCCGATCGCTACAACCCTGCGGCTACGGTCTCTTCTCGTCTCATTGTCTTTTTGGGCGTTGTGGGACAGCAGGTATCCAATATGGACGTACTGAACAACCAGGGTAACCTATGGCTGATCGGCCTTGCCATGCTCTCACTCGCTGGGTTCTTCCTAGTTACCGGGAGATTGCAGGGTAGCGGTTTCCTAGGTCGACTTCGCAACAACAGGTTCTCCAAATATGGGTGGCAGCCATGGGTAGCAGCGGCTGAGGAGAAGGAACTCTCTGAACCGTCTTCTGCACCTTATGTGAACGTCTTTCCACCACAACGTCGTCATGTTCTCGATTCGTTCAAAATTGCAATTTCCTCTGAAAGTGTCGACGAGGAAGAAGTTGCAAAATACCCACTGCCTATGACTACGAACTACCAGACATGCACGGACAAGAGCTATACACCAACAGGATTCTCGGTGGCAGATGTGAAGACTCTGGGTGATTTCCCTGACTATGCTGAACTCAGCGGCGTGCCCTTGCCGGAGCCGTACTATGAGTTCGACATTGACAAGGCGTTGCCACGACCTTATCGCCCGTTCCGGTGGTCCTACCATCAGACAATGTGTACGTTATTCCCGTTTTATACTTGATTTGCTCAAATAGCACCAGCTAACCACTTGCAACGCGATAGCCCTTACGAAGTTGGAGACCGATTGGTGGATCGAACTCGAGAAAACCTACAAAGAGCGAGTCAAACAGCGCAAGGAGTTGTACGCCAAACATGGTAGCTCCGTGCTTGGTTATCTTCCTGGCTCTGAACTGGCCTGCAAGGAGCTCATGGAAATGGTATTGCAGTTTATCTGTGCCCGCTACCCGCAGTACTTTGCCGTCGAGAACAACCAGATTCTGCACAATCGGATCCTAGAAACGACAGAGGATATCAAGTCCAAGCATCCCCTCGAGATTCTTATTAATAATGTGCCAGAGGATTTTGGGATCATGATGCGCGATGAGAAGACGGGATTCTACTTCCTACGCGCAGGCGTCATCTGTTCGTCTTTGGGATGGAATGTTGGGACAAAAATTGGCCTTCAGCTGCACCAGATTCACGAGGATATTCCGGACTACAAAGAGAAGATGCAATTTTCAATGGATCGGTAAGTTCATTCGGCCATAGATATAGACAAGGCGGATGGTCTGATTGAAAATTTCTAGCTTTTTCACCAAGATGCCTGCCGACAAGCCCATTCAGAGAGGATCTTGGGGACTCGAGGTCGGCCAGCCTTTGTACATGCCTAAAGGGGACCCTCACGAGACACTGCGCCTTTCCCAGGACCCGAACCTCCAGCTGGACAATTGTCACTTGCGTGTCGACTGGCAGACTCTCCGTCGTCTCCCTCTTTCCGCCGCCATTGTTTTCAACTTCAAGGCCCTTTTCACCCCGGTGTCAGAATTCCAGGACGAGCCAGGCGTGCCTGCATTGACAGCCAAGATCCTGAAGGAGGGTAAAAAGAACTTGATGGATTACAAAGGCACCTGGCACGTGGAGCACGTTGTAATCCCGAAGCTCGAAGAGTGGGCCAAGGAGCAGGAAGAGAAGGGACTGGTCCCCAAGAATTGGCAGGTGTCAACCTTGGATGACAGTCCTTGGTACCAGGGTTGGCAGGAGAAATGGCATCGCCAGCAGGGATTCTAATCCTTACGTATGTAAACCAGATGGGTGGATGGGATTTGCATATATGGGAGGCTGTTTCATTCCTTCTATTGCCGACTATGCCATGCTTTGTGTTTTAATGGAGGCTATCTCAGCGCATTCCAAAATTGAGCAATCTACTCAATAGTATCCCACGAGGACCAAGTTTGACCAGGCGCGTACATCCGTAGCCGCAGCAGTAGCCTGTCGCTTCACGTATCGTTTCACCGAACGTAGGTGTCGCCGGAGCGGGTTTCCGGACGGCCGCACAGCAGCAGCTAGAGTAGGCGCTGAACGGCGCAACCGGTGGACTACCTCACAGATCTGGTAGCCATCAGCCGAACACCGTCTAGCCGACAGCCCCAGGGATCCAGGCTTATACACTGCAACCTGCGTGCACACACAGGCAGCCAATAACCCAGCCCAGCTCAGCCGCACCGCAAGGCCAAGGCCCAGAAAAGAGGTCAGAAAAATCAACAGACACCAAGCCGGACATCTCAATCATCACCCTGCCTCTCCCCCTCCTCACTCCCCTCATCATCACGACCACCATCCTCATCCTCATCCTCCTCGCGATCACTCCTCTCCATCTCCTCCAACTCATCCTGCAACGGACTAACCCTAACCTCCAACAAATCCAAATCCTCCAAAACCTGCCTAGCAGGCAACTTCCACAAACTCGTACCACAAACTCTCTCCTTGGTCAACAACTCATCCACAAACTGATCCATATACGTCAACGTAAACGAATCCCGCACCCGTCTCTTCAACTTCCGATAATCCAACAGCAACGGTTCCAACGTCTTGTACACCTCCACCGGCTCGAACGTCAATCGCACGTAGAACGCCGCGAGCGCACGCAGGTATTTGAAGTCGCCGCGCGCTTTGACTACCCCGTTACCCTCCTCGTAGGATTCATCATCATTCGTGGGTTCGTTGTCGGGATCGCTGAAATTCAAATACTCGAGGATAATGTCCCGCTCTGGGTTGAGTTGGAGAAGCTTGAATGCGAGGCAGAGGAATGGGGAGGGCTTTTCGGATACGCCGTATACGCCCCCGATGCAGGTCAGTTCCACGGCTCGGTCGCAGAGTGTCGCCGCGTTGAGTCCGAAACATTGCTCTTTCCAGTAGTAGGAGTCGGTGATCCGGTCCCGAACGGCTTTTTCGAAGAGCGTTGCTGGGTTCACGCCTCGTACTAGGGGGCCGCTGTAGCCCCGGTTGTCGAGGAAGGTGCTGGCGTCGGCGCGGTGGGAGGTCATTGTTCTTTTCTTTTCTGTTTTTTGTTTGTTTGTTTGAGGTTGTTGGGAGGGGTGGGAGGGGTGGGAGAGGGTAGGGAGGATATTGAAGGTAATTGAATGAATGATTGGATAGGTATGTAGGTAGACTTGGGGAAGCTAGCTATCTCTATCTGTGGTGGAGATGGTGGATGGGATTGTTTTTCTGCCGGTTGGTTTGGTGGTACCGCCTTGAGGTGGTGGGCGGTGTGGATTGTATACTTATTCACTGGTTATGTTAATATCACAGTGAAGATGCAGTTGACAGAGAGGATTCACCTCAATTTATTGCATATCCATGTCAGAAGCATACTATACAACTGTGTCAAGCTCTAAACCAAGGCTCATCCAAGATCTCCTCTACCGAAGCACGAGCACCTGGCTCAAAGCGTAACAACTTCCGAATAATCCTCCCCAGCTCCACGATGTCATCTCTGGACAAGTCTTCTTTGCGCTCACCATCAAAGTACATCTCCTCTAGCCACTCTTGCAAACCAGGTCCCCCGTCTTCAGTGACATCTTTGCCACGCATTGACTCCAATAAAGGTACCCATCTGTCAGGCAATGCTTCATTCGTTATCTCCTGCATTTGCTCAACGAGAATCTTGGGAGTGATCAAGAAGCTATCAAAGGGAGGTTGACCGACAAACAACTCGAATAACTATTATGCCAGTCAGCCACAACATAACAATTAGTGGTGGGTAGGGCTGCGCTATACCATACAGCCTAAACTCCACAAGTCCACACGATAATCCAGACGGTCTTTGATTATCACTTCAGGTGCCCGAACAACTAATGGAGTGTGGAGCATCTCAGGAGCATCATTCTGTGGGAAAGATTCACCAAAGTCGACTATCTTGATGGTATTTGATAAAGGCCGTGATCGTGAATGTATATTCGCAGGTCTAACAATATACTCCGGTATACCAGGCCCCAGACGTCCACCATCATTGCAGCGGACGTATCCGATGTCTGGTTTTCCTAGTAGATTGATGAATTCATCTTCGGGAATATTGGCCACAGATGGTATAGTGAAGGCCAGATTGCGAATATGAAAGTCTATACAATGTAAGCAAGAGAAGTCAAACATGAAGAGGAAAGTCGACCTCCATGCGCAATCTCCCTACGATGCAATGCATCAAGTCCCATCATAGCCTGCCGCGCAACACCCCTAGCCAAACTCCCAGGAAGTCTCCCAACTGCAAACCGCCCCTCCACCAGATCAGACACACTTGGACCCAGCATCTCGAGAACCAAACAGGGATGTATCCCATTAGGTCCCTGAATATCGAAGTGATCGAGCAGGCGCACGATGTGTTGAGCGTCATCTAGACTCTTCAAGACATTCATCTCTCGATGCCCTCTATTGCTATGATCCTCCGCTACGCAGATCTTAATAGCGACATACTTCCCTTCTCTGAAACAATTATCTATTAGCGGGTTGTTCGATACTAGGTAAACTTTCAATGTCAGGATAATTAAACTGAGATATTTATGTACTGTTCATCTCTAGCAGCCCAGACGGTGGAGTATCCGCCCCATCCTAGTTTATGCAGGATTTTGTATCTTCCTTGATGGAGGAGGCTTCCGAGGGTTATTGGGTGGTAGCCGCCGGTTGTGTAGCGGTGGAGGGGCTCCGCGTTAATGGGGGAGGAGTATTGGGGTGCATGGGGTGGTTTGGGTGTTTGGGGGGTGGTTGAGTAGGGGATGGTGGAGTGCTTTGATACTTGGGTGGGTATTGGTGATAACGAAGGAATTGTATGTATTCTCGTGAGTGATGAGGATATTTATTGTTCCTACATGTTATCATCTAGAGGGTCATGATGGTATGCATAGTAAAGTGCCAAGAAGCAGCTTATCGATAGTCGCACGGCCAACGGGCCACAATCAACAGGCTGAGACATGGTGTGGCCTTGGCACCGCCAGGGTGAATGTTTGTGATGATCATCTGCCTGTGTCAGACTAGAAACTCATGCTTCTATCAAATATCATGATCGCTGGAATTCTCATCCGGTTCGAATTGAAAATTACTCCTCGTATACTTGCTGTATAGGCCGGGCTCTCTAAAGCAGTTACTAGTGCATATCAAAACAGTGCTGCCTACAATTCAGTCTCCACAGGCTACGTACGACGGGTATACACAGACACGTACTAAGCGATTAATTTGGGGGGCGCGCGCAGACAGTCATGGTGCTTCTTACTTCGTCGACGGTCTCGGTCATTATATCCACAGCTGTCATTTGTACCTTTACTTTTCTGCTCTTCCTTTCGGGGTATGTCCTGCAACAGCAGTCTGTCCGAAGCATTCAGCATGCCATCCGACCGCCTCCTCCGCCACCACCCCCGGCGGCGGTCCCGGTGGGAGCATACCAAGGGGCCGGGCAAGAGGTTTTCTCCGATAGTGTCGCCGATAAACAGCACAAGAGGAATGATGCTGGTTCCACACAAGCAACAACGGGCAACTTTGCATACCTCCAGCTTCTCTCCACTCCCGATCCGTCGGACATCTGCTCCGCCATTCTCTTCTTTAAACACTTAGCGACCAATGGTACTGCAGTTCAGGATAGGCTGTTCATGTATCCGCGTGAGTGGGACCTGATGCCCACTAAGGAGCTCACCGAACCGGTCGCCACTGCCCTTTCTTTGCTGAGAACGGCAAGTCTGGAGTACGGCATCTGGCTTCTGCCCATTGATATGACACTAGCCACTTCTGAAGGCTACAAACCGACCGATACAAAGCTGCTGCGGCTGGGACAGATCCAGTTTATGCAATATGACAGTGTCCTCTATGTGCAAACGCCTGGTTTGTTGCTCGACACTGCCAAGTTGGATGCTATGCTTCTCTCCCGACCGCTGCCATTGCGACATGACAAGAACAGAATCGAGTCATTCAACAATGAAGCCTGGCTGCCTATGCCCTTGAGAGCAGAGAGAGACTCGGCTCTGCCTCCCGTATACCTGATTACGGTGAACAGCGTGGAAAACGGCCACATTGAAGCTCGTGGCCATGTTCCAAACACAGATATTTCGGGATTTAGTAATCTGGTCACGGGGCCTGATGGCGTATTGTCGCCCAACGAAGATGAGTTCAATCCTGATGAGCAACCAGGCTATGTGTACTTTGAGCAGGACGATGATGGTCATGTTAAATGGGCCCATAATCCACTATTCGGATCTTGGCGGGTTGGGCAACATGAGGTCTGCGAAGGCCTCGACCTTGATGATGCAGTCCACGGTGGATATGATTTGTGAATCTTCTTTCTTCTTTGCTTTTGCATATTGGCTGGTTCCTATGGCGTTTGTTGGCTTCATTTCAAGTGAATGTTTTGATGGCTCAAAAGAAAGCGAGTCACTGGCATTCCAGGTTCCCATGGGAGTTGAGGTATATATATCGGGAACATTGGTGGTTTTCGTGTCCATATTTATGTGTGCCCTCTGAGGCACGCGGCGATACTTTATGCAGTCATGTGTATATGAATCATGTATTATGCCAAAATACTATCGTATATCGAAGTCAGGTTGTCTAGTATCAGCAACTGCATTCATGTCATTCACATTAGTCATTCATGCATTTTCCGTAGCAGAGGCGATGTCTGAGTCATCGCTTTCATCTCACGGTTGGGTCCAGGAAGAACTCCGATTCTACTGCATACCCAAAGGGTGCAACTGACGCCGAAACACAACCATTAGTGCCCACATACTTTCAAGGTCACAGATGATATGGCAAACTTACTCTTCCGCAAGGAGCTGGCAGACCTTTAACCAGGCACCCCAATCTCATAGCCTAGCAAGACCTCCGTCGTATTACCTTCCCAGCCTCTGTTACCACTTGTTGAGACCATGAAGCGACACGCCTGGTCAATGTATAGCTGGGATACAGTTCCGGTACGATGTCCTGGGATGATCAAGAAGGGCACTGTGGAGTGGCGAGTCACTTGTTCATGTTTGAGGTCGTACAATCGAAGAATGTCATGCGATGCGCTATGAAGTGACGGTCAGCCAGTCATGTCAATGAAAGTAGAGCCTGAGTGACGACGAATATACGTACCAAACGATATGTCTGCCGTTAGGCATGGCCTTGAGTGCCGTGACCGGTCCACTACCCTGAGGGAATTTGAAGGTCCGTTCAGCATTTCGAAGGCCCTTATGAAGGCTGTACTCCTCAACAGTTCCATTACGACGCCCTGCATAAATATAGTTGCCGTCTGGGGACCAGCATGCATTCATGCACCAAGGAGGGCAGTTCTGAGAAGTGATGCGAGCAACGGCATCCGGTTCCCTTCTATCCCACACTCGGATAGTGCCATCAATGGACGCAGCCAGGAAAAGATTATCCGTATTAGCACCTGTTTCTGCGGGCGCAGGAAGAGCACTCTCTTGAGTATAGCTTGTTGGTTCCAGCTCTTCGGCATGCGGTAGTCCATTGACTATCGGCTGAGAGGAGCCATTAGGCATCTCCGCCTGGCCAGAGCTAGGGGGTTGAGTGATGGCATTGTTATTGGCAGTTGCAGCTTCAGCATCTGCCGGGGCCGGGGCCGAATCCGGAGCCGGAGCAGCAGGAGCCTCTGCAACGCCGTTCTGACTCGGTTCCGGTTCTCCAGGGGCGTCGGCATCTGGCAGCACTCCATTAGTAAGGGCTTTACCAAACTCATCATCCTCGTCAATGCCGAATGCATTTCCAGATGCGCCGGCCTCGTCTCCTCCATTCCCGTTCTCGTCGCCGAATAGCGAGTCGGCACCGCCGAAGAGTGAATCAGCCGGAGAGCCCGCCTGCGGGTTTGAGCCAGTGCCGTTATCACCGTCATTCGACGTATCCATGAAGTTGAAGCTACCATTCTCAGGAGCCTGGTAATTGGACGAGTATGTGCCATTTGTTTGTTGAATCTCGGTTGTGTCTCTGGGAACCGGCAGACTGGACTCTGGCCGTATCTCGACAGCGGAAATCTGCCCGGCGCTAGACCCGAATGCGCGTCGGGTCTGCCCTGTGTTAAGGTCCCAATCAAATACTCGCTTGTCCCAGCTGCCAGATAGTAGAGACTTTTCATCTGAAGTCAAGCTCAGTACAGAGACTGCGGAAGTATGCTGCTGCAGAAGAGCGATCTCTTTTCCTTCATCATGACGGACTGATTGCAGTCGGATGCTACCGGACTCCAAGCCAGACAATAACCACAGACCTTCACTATGGCTGGCCAGCGAGTATACTGGCGATATTGTGTTCCCGTCCATGTTTTCCCAGTACGTCATCAGTACACCCGCCTTGATGACACTGTCGACGAAAGGATGCCTTTGCGCCACAGTGAGCATCAGCTTGCTGTTGACAGAATCCACCCAATTGAATTTCCGAACGTATCCATCCGAGCCGCCGCTGAATACCCATCTCATGTCAGCGGTCGCAGTTACCGCATTGATCGATGTACTGTGAGGGGCGGCCGTAGTTGGGACTATGTCGAACGTAGGCGCTGTCAGGCACTTTTCCCGCACGCTCGGATGGAAAACAGATCGTGGATCAGATCCCGAATTCGTAGCAGTTGTATTGGACATTTCGACATCCGCGTTTGGTTGCGTCGCTACCCCAGCGCTTTCGGATGCATGACTAGCATTGGACTGACTTTCCGCATCTTGGTCGGCGTCCGCGTCGGGATCAGGTTCGTTGTCATTGCCTCCATCATCTGCATCCCGAAGTGTATCCTCCATTTCATTGTCCGAACTTCCGTCTTGAGAGCCTGGGTTTGCGGAGAACTTATCAGTGTTGCCCAGATGAACCGGAGGAAGTCACAAAGCTTACCTGCAAGGTCGCGATCGTCGTCATCTTCGATCGAAGCCATTGTTCGGTAAGACGACTTGGCTTCTCGCCAATTTGGATAAGTGAGTGGATATTGCAGGGAATAGAGAGGCGTGTGTACCGACTCCCCTGTGACCGCGTGGTGGAGATTGGGGTCCTTTCACAGGCAAGGCGCAACAATTTCAATGAATGCAAAGCAACCCCGCAGACTAAGGGTGCATAGCTTGGCTTCGCACACGTTATCGTGCTGAATGTAATCGCGCACACGTGAGGATGCCTTCACCGAACAAGAGATTCGCAGAACAATGCAGAGCACGACATGTAGCTATCACTGGATTCTGGGGTAAGTTGATCCTTTGCTGCCCGCTTATGGCCTTCCCCGATTCGGTCACGTTTCGCGGTATTGTTTATGCCTCAGGCATTAACACTCTGTATCCGGTTAGCGCAGATTGGTGCATCTATCAAGACTCCAGCATCACTGGTGAACTTGGGAATAATTCTTCAGGCACAAAGTGATGCACTTGCTGGAGGCATGTCTCTCTTGCTTTGCTTCGCAAAAGCGCTATGTGAGCACATGTCACAAATATCTTGAAAATTGGTGCGTTGGAAAGCGGTATCATCCTACTACAGCTTCCAGTTGGGTATCGCCATGAAAGGTAGTATCAGTCAGAGTCCAGATGCCCATAGAAATCAGCTCTAACCCGGTTTGTGCCTAACTTACTCATAGTGACAGTAATAGCGGATCTCCAGAGCTTCCAAAGTTTGCCTTATAACCGTATGCCCGAGATGACAGGTCACATACCATGCTTCTCCTTTCGCGCGCAGTAGAAGCCGAATGAATGAGCTGATGAAAGTAGAAAGGTGATAAAGTCTTTCCTACGAAGTTCTGCTTGGTGGAATTACTGTGGCCGGATTAACAACATAGTCCGGCCTGCAAACAGAGAAGTACCTACACTTTCTCAACCTATAGCTAGATGGCTAATGTTACACCACGGCCACACGTAAACTTTACAATCACTAGACACACCTGAGAATCTGACTTTACTCCCATCTTATGTTTAGACATAGTTAAATTGAAAAATTGAAGAAAGTGGCAGCCGGGCACAAGCAAACGGCGATCGAAGAAGCGAGTGAAGTGCATCTGAAAGATGGTATCAGCCAAGTGTTATTGAAGTGAATACTAGGTAAAGAGCAGATAAGTACATTACCTAACTCATAGGCAAAATACGTACTGTATACACTGTGAAAGCTATAGATACTGTAGGAATTGTAGTATAAATTACACGGTATGTTCCTTCCTACTTCTCACTTTCCCCCTCCAGTTCCTCATCGCTTCGAGATCTCTCCACAAGTCCTTCTTCCCATACAAAGCACCTCTCTGACACTTTACTACTCTGCTGTTTACAATCCCTCTACCTTTTCTAATTAAATCTCCAATATAGCCATTTGCACAACCAAGATTTTGATATTTACTCGTTGAATCATTTCTGAACCCTCCAAGCCCCATCAATATGGACTCAGGGGATTACCATCGGCCCGGGACTCCTCGCTCAGATCCCCGGCTGTCAGAGCGAGATATGGACACCCATCTGCTGGTCAATAAAGTCATCAGAGAGTACCTTGCCCAGCCATCTATTGACTTTGCTGAGGAGTGGCTAAAGAAGCCGGACGTTCCATCGTCAGATGAGATATTGGGCAACTTTGGTTCTGCAGAGAATGAGTTTGTGGAATTGACTCCAAATAAAATCACGGGTCCTTGGAACTCGACCGATGAGTATCTCAAAGCACACTATGAGCTCCTTCGAGAAGATGCAATTTCTCCTCTCAGAGACGCCGTTGCATACGTCAGAGATGACCCCAAGATGACTGACACCAAGCTTGTATCCATCTATGATAAGGTAAATGATATAACACGCGAATCTTCTTCGATTTACTGACAGTATGAAATTGCTCCAGGTTTACTTCACCGGTATCACATTCGCGCAAAGAGGTCTAGGAATCAGGATCCGCTTCTCCACTCGCCGAGCGGAGAAAAATATCGCGTGGGAATATTCTAAGCGTCTTGTCAGCGGCTCTATGGTTGCGCTTAGTCCAGCAGATGACGCATTTCAGCAGAAGTGCATCGTTGCCATTGTTGCTGCCAGGCCGCTTGAAGGCGTTCAAAAGCATCCTCCGGAGATTGATATCTTCCTTGCTAGGCCCGAAGATTTTGAATTCGACCCTCAGAAGGAATGGATCATGGTAGAAGCCAAGGATGGCTACTATGAATCTGTGAGGCACACGATGGCAGCACTCCAGAAGTTGAAACAAGAAAAGTGAGTATAGCTTTATTGCAACGTTGCACAAAGTTCTTCGTTTCAATGATTAAATTCTGATTTCTAACATAGATTTCCTCTTTCTGAGCACATTTGCCTGCTTGATCCTAATGTCAGAGCCCCGGACTATGTGGAACAGGATCCTGTCCTTGACATACAGTCCGTAGCCAGCGAGACTGCCGAGGCTGCCGAGGGACA